GGGGGCCCCTTTAAGCTCGAGCCTCAGATAGCCTCAGACAGCAGCCACACAAAGCAACTACTGACCTGATGCCCTGCCAGAACCGGTTTCAGCTGCCCTTAAATGTGCCCCTGCATCCAATCAGTGTGGACGCGCTAGTTCGAATTAGCAAAACGCTAATTCGAACTAGTTTTTAGTTCTAGACGCGTTAGTTCGAATTAGCTTAGTTCGAATTAGCTTAGTTCGAATTAAGTTAGTTCGAATTAGCACTGTAGTGTAGACATACCCTAGGTTAGGGACTATCTTCCCTGTGTACACAGGGCCTAGCACCATAGAATTCCAATTCCTCTGTGGGACCAGCAATATACTGTAATACAAATTCAGATAAATAACATTTATTTCTCTCATACCAGTAAATTCATGGCTAGCATTCAGGTATTCTCCAATACTTAAATTTCTGTGTTGTCACAGTGAACTTGTTCATAATTTGAATTATTATATTTAATCCATGCTATCCTGTGAATAGAAAAATCCTTCTTATAAAATTTTACCTTGACTTCAGCATTATTGATGTTCTGTAAAAAATTGGGGATGTTGATGATGATGATGACTTGTGTTTCAGTTCCTAAATGAAAGCTGACTTCCATACTTATGGGTTTATTTTTAAATAAAGAGAATATATTTGGATTTAAGCCTTCTGGCTTTTCTTCCATCCTTTCACTTCATTCTTTTTTTCCATTTGTGTGGGACAATATTTTCCACTAAGCAGTTCCCCTGTGATAAGGTTAAACAATTTTGCTGGAAAACATGTTCAATTTTGTTGTCCTTTTAAAATCATGAAACTTCATTCTCTGGGACAGCCTTCCATTCTTTTTCATGTAGCAGTAGGCCAGTAAACCAGTCAAGCTTTCTTACATTGTGTTGCTTGCAGTAATGCTGCAAAAATACGAAGTTGACCCAGTGAGTGGCTGATCTGTGGTTACTATGTGTACTGTAGCCTTTTATTTTCTTTAAAGTGAATTTTGAAATGTGGTATTGCACCACTGTGGTTTTGCTCTGGCGACAACAGTTTCAAGCTTAACAGAGTGAAAGTCACCTCTGATACTTGGTCTTTAGGGACTTTAAACCAAGGGTAGTGACCATACATAAATTCATGAGTACAAGGCAGTCAGTTTTACAAGTTTTGTTAAAGTTCTGATTACCTAAGTGTATAAACATTCTATACAGGCCGATATACAAGTTACAAATATAGTTACCCTGTTGTTAAAGTTGTGAGTATTAGAGTTTAATGAGTCTCTCATGGCTTGATCATCAACCAGACGGATGGTTCCTGCTGGAGTGTCCCGGAGGGAGCTAGTTTTCCCATTCTGGGCATTAGGTATGTGAGCAATTAGTTGATTTACCGGTAATAAAATGCTAGTCACGCCCTCTCTTCTCCCCCCCCCCCCCAGCTGCCTCTATTAGAGAGAGGCAGCGAGGGGGAGGAGCAGGAGCCAGTGTTGGGGGGAACTGGTAAAGCCAGTTCCCCCCAGCACCATCTCTGAGAGGGCCAGGAGAGGCAGAGGCACAGTGGGAAACAGCGCGAGTGAGGACTGCTTTTGTCTCCACCCCTGCCGGTTCCTACTGTGGGTGCTTCTGCTTTTGAAATGTACAAGAGCTCTGCAGGGCTCTTGTACATTTCAAAAGCAGAAGTGCTGCAGGTAGCACTGGACGAGCAGGTACTCAAGCTGTCCCCGCTTGCCCCATACTCTCTGCGGCACCCCCTCCCCTCCACTGCCTCTATGAGAGGCAGTAATGGGGGGAGCCCAAGCACCATCTCTGGAATACTGCCTGCCCTCCTGCTGCCTTTATCAGATAGGAGACACTGCTGCGAAACAGCCCCCTGTTCACAGGGGTCCCAGCAGGGAGCTGGGCCCCCCCATGGACAGGGACTGTTGCTGCCAAGGAACCACTGTTTGCGGCAGTTAGGGTAAAAACCAAGCCATTATATGATGTCGATGATTTAAAGCTGTGACAAATCAGTGATGAAATACTGATGTATGGTTTCCCCATAATTTCAGGAAGCCTATGTAGCTCCTACCTTACCCAGAGCTATCAACTTCCAGTGCTGGACACAATGTTTGTGAGGAAGAAACATCGTGGGAAAGATTTTGGGTTAATGATGTTGGAGGATTTTGTGGATTCCTTTACTGAAGACACACTTGGTCTTCGCTACCCACTGTCATCTTTCATGTATGCAGGTAAATTCTCTAATTTTTTTCCTCGTCTTCTCTCTCAATTCAACGTGGAAGGAAGAGATTAAATTTCTTAAAGTTCATAGTAGGGGTGTAAGAGACTAGTTGACTAGTGATGCAACTAGTCACTTCCCCCCTTGCTGCCTCTATCAGGCTATGTCTACACTACAAGATTTTTGCAGAAAAACAGCCATTTTTGCGTAAAAAGCGGCAGACTGTCCAAACCTCAAGGGTGTTTTTGTGCAAAAAAAATTACGGTAAATCAACAGGACAGAGGGCTTTTGCCTGTAGAGTTATTCCTCTCTCCACAAGGAATAACTCCTTTTTGCACTACAGCTCTTGTGCAAAAAGGCATGTGTGGATGCTCTGCAGGGGTTTCTTGTGCAAAAAGAGCCTATCAGAAAAAGCACAGGCGCTCTGATGGCCATTCCATTAATCAGAGCTTTCTTGCGCAAGAGCGTCCATGCAGTGTGGACGCGCTTTTTCTCAAAAGCACATTGCTTTTGCGATGTGCTTTTGTGGTGTGGACGTGCTTTTGCGCAAGAAGTTTTTGCGGAAGATCTCTTCTGGAAAAATCTTGTGCAAAAACCCTGCAGGTAGAAAAAGCCTCAGAGAGAGGCAGCAAGAGGGGGGAGCAGGAGCCAATGCTGAGGGGAGCCAGCTTAAAAGTGCCCTTATAGACTAATCGAATAGTCAATAGAAATCCCGTTGACCATTTGATTAGTTAATTAATCTAAATTTAACATCCCTAGTTCATAGCAGACTTTAAATAAATATAAAATATGTTGCTATTCAGTGAACCTTAAAAAGTCATATGGAGAATGTGTATGTTGCTTTATTTTCTTGTAATCCTTGCATTTCTATTGGTTAATGTTATAGCTTGTTGATAGGTGCACTCTCTTGTTCTCTCTGACAGTAAACAGAATACACCCATGTGATTTGCCTCATTCTCCTTTGATCTAGTTCTAGAGTTGAACTGTAGTCAAAATGAAATCTGAGTTTTAGAGAGTCACTAGTGAGAGGAGAGAGCACATTTTCTAGGTGTGCCTGTCTGTGGGCACCCTGCTCCCTCTGACTCTGTTACTTCTGTAATTGCAGACATTACTTGGCTGAAAGTGCTTTGCCCAAAACAAGTCCATAATGTTTCCCCCTTTATTTTTAAAAGTAATAACATAGATGAGTTTAATGTTATGATTAAAATACTTAGTATTAAATAAGTGGAAGGGTGCTGTGTTTCAGGGGCTGGCTTGTTGAGGTCTTGCCACCAAGGTAAAAAAACAGTCCAAACAAGTGAAATAATGGAAGTGTTCACATATATGTGAGAGACAAGTACTGACAAGGGTATGAGAGCTAATGTTACCCCAGAATATGTGTGGAGTTGGAAGAGAAGAGTCGTTGGTTCCTGAGACTGTTATGTCCCAAAGCCAAAATATAAGGGCAGTTTAATAAAATATAGAGACTCTTCCTGCATTCCCACAACAAAGCATACTGGGTGTAGGAATCCTCTGGGGTTTCTGCCTGCTCTTTACTGCTGGGGCAATGTCCAGAGATTAAGGAGGATTCCGAATACGCTGTGTCTTCTGCCCCCCTCCCCTACCTGCAGAGATAAGCCTTTAAGAGAAGGCCTGCACCAGAAATAGTAGCTGATTTACTCTGAGGAGAGCAAACTGCTCCACAGAGTGATCAGCTCCCCCCACCTATTGCTAGTAGCAGCTGCCTCTCAGCTTTAGAGTAAGACTAGTTAAACTAAGTGGGAGTGATGGGGGTCATATAAATGGGTAGTTGCTAGCATTGCTTTTCTGTGGATGTGGGTGATACCTGCTGTGGTGTACTTTCCTCCCAATGCATGCTTTGGTTGAGTTGTGTGGAATGTGCCAAATGAAAAGATTCACTGATAGTATTTTAAGAGGAGAGGGAAATAAAAAAGATTAATGGTGAGTGTGTTGTAGTAAACAGTGCCAAAACCAACTCCTCTGTACTCCAGCAAAGTACTTTACATGGGTGCTGTCAGCAACATTGATTGACAGAATCTGTTGGCTATATGCACTGTTCAAGAGCATATCTCTGATATGTAGACAAGTTTAAATCCTTGTTCAGTGTAAAATTCTCTAGAAACAAATAACCTTGCAACTTGTGTGTAAAATAACAGGTAATACTGTACATTTGTATTCATTTTTAAAAGTTGGATTTCAAGGATATTTTTTTATTGAGAAAGAAAATTTTCTTTGCACCTGTAATCTGAAGCGGGCATAATGAGTGAGTATTTTGTACTGCCCAAAATGCTTACTAGAACTCGGGGGAGAGGGGAATCCTATAGTCCCTGCCCCCTTAAGGTTACATCTAGGGATATGATTCAGATGATGAAAATGAACATACATTGTCCTCACTGCTTTGGATCATAATTGAGCAGAATCTGTCATCAGCATGGAAGTATGTCCTCTGGAATGGTGGCTGAAGCATGAAGAAGCATATGAATGTTTAGCATCTCTGGCATGTAAACATTGAAAATCTGTTCTCACTTTCAGGTCACTTTGTAAGTAAGAAGTGAGCAGCATTTTGCCTTGTAAAAATAAACAAACTTGTTTGACTGAGTGATAGGCTGAACAAGAAGTAGATCTGAGCAGACTTGCATGTGTTAAAATTTTACATTGTTCTATTCTGAAAGCATTTTCTCACATAATTCTATATTTGTAAGTCCAGTGTTCATGATAGATTGCATTATAGTACTTGTAATGGGGGAATGTAAAAATTATATTTTTGTTTTATAGCACTAATATTTATCATAAAAATAAAGTGAGTACTATACATGTATTCTGAATTGTAAATGAAATCATTTGAAAATGTAGAAGACATCAAAATATTTAAATAAATAGTATTCTATTTAATAGTTGTTTAACTATTGTTTAATTGCTATTCATTTTTGAGCTAATTGTATGAGTTAATTGTGATTGGAAGCCCTACTTACAATCTAAATTTAAGACAGTACAATGATGGAAGGTGCTAAGAGGAATGGACTAAGATCTTGAAGGATGAGGGTTGCAGAAATGTTATTATCTAGTTACTCAGGTTAGATATGCACATCTTGGTGACTCAGTTTCTTTTTGTTTGTAATGCATTATAAATATGATAAAGTAGAAGTCAGACTATAATTGAGTGATTAGGATAGTGTTTTGTAATTTCTCAAGCTGAGTTACAAATACACCTAATGGGTACTGTGGGTTGGTTTTGTTTCTGTTTTTTCAGCTTGTAAGCAGTATTTTGAAAAGTACCCAGGGGATCATGATCTTCTATGGGAGGTTGAAGGAGCAGGATACTGGTTCCAGAGAACGCCTATTACAAGTGTATTGCAGAGAGAAACACTTGAAACTGAAGGTAAGATGCTTTGGAAACAGAGCCAGGAAACTATTGAGACTTGAAAAGTGAAGTTATATTGTACAGTGATTAGCCTACAGTATTTTTTGTAAACAGCCCCGGTTGTGAACAATCTCCACTGAAGTCATTGGGAAGACTACAAATGGCTTAATTAGTAGCCAGTTTGGGCCTTATGTCAGTTTACATTCAGAGTGGATAACAGGTTTTCTGCATTTTTTTTAAAAAATGTATTTGCATTTTTTTTCTGTTGAATTTTTCTAAGAGCAGGAGCCTCTCAAAAAGAAAACAACAGTTCCCAAACTGAAGAGTGTTTTCTGCAGTCTGCCATGGAATCTGTAACAGGAAGCGAACAGAGCACCAAGATGGAAACGCAGCTAAGGGTAGGTACACATGTCTATGTATATATCTACAAAGCAAGAGTAGTCTTCTTATAGCTTCATGTTCTTCTAGCTTCCTTAATTACTTTTTCTGTAAAATCTTTTACTGAAGAGAGAGAGACAGGTTTCCAAAACAGAAGTGATTTTTTTTAAATAATCCATTTCTAATGTCTAATTAGAGAATGATGATACTGGATAAGATTTTGGGAAAAATCCATGAATTTAATAAAAGTGTGTGTGGCTTGTTCAATACTCTTTCTTTATCCCTCGCTTTTCTTTATCCCTCGCTTTCCTCTCTCTGTCTCTGTCTCTGTCTCTCTGTCTGTCTGTCTGTCTGTCTGTCTGTCTGTAAGTCTTTTCAGGAATCAAGTTGAACTTCCATTATCTCTTCAGTGTTCTCTGAACGTAATTGCTTGGACCTGAGCATTTCTTTTGAGCCATCCAGTCTAGGGATGTTAAATATCAGTTAATTGAATAGTCGATTAACCTCATGATTCTTATTGGTTAGTCAACTATTCTACAGTCTCCAGGCAACCCTTATTTGGGGGGAAGCTCCTGGACCAGGCATGAGCCAGAACTGAGCCTGGCTGCCTGACCACCTGGCTCCTAATACACTTTAAATGCATAGCCGCAAGGGGGTAGGTCCAGGACCCAGTGCAAGCCGGGACTGAGATGGGCTGCTGGCCAGTCTGTTAAAAAATATACTGGCAAAGGCTGTGGGGGGAAAGTGTGTAGTTTATAGCATTTACCTATAAGCTTTTGCTTATCGGTTAATCGGCTGTACTGTTACCTCCCTAATCCAGTCAGACAGAACCCGTGGCTTTTATCAGAGAAACCTTATATACATAGTTGTGGCTTCAAATCAATCACAATCGAGAAGATACATATGAAATTTTGTTGAACAAAATTGACGTGGGTGTCAGGAGCTATGAAAGACAGATGCTTTTGTTACACTTGGACTAATGTTACCTTTTACAGTGAAACAGCTATGAGCTTTGCAGCTGGCTACCCAAGAGTGGGGCTGGCAGTTCCTGGGGAGCCAGCATGTAACTTGTGTTGAGGGGCCAGGCCCATCACGGATAGGGGCTGCTGCAGCCAGCCTGAGCAGCCCTTGCCTGTAGTAGGCCCCTCAGGATGAAGCAGCCCCCTGTTTGGGGTGGGCGGGGAGCTGCTCCAGCCCCTACCGGTTAACCATATACATCCCTAGTTGGGATATGAAAGCATTTCAGTCAGGAGAATACAATCTCCAGTGGTTCAGGCTTTAAAGAACAGTATGTTTTTCTGCTTTAGGTTGATTCCCAAAAAGGCAAAGAAATCTTAGATGCCCATGCAAGCACTTCTGAAGGTAAAAAATAATGTTGAACATCAGTGTTATGATTCTTAAATTCTATAAGGGTAATGGCCCATTTTCATCATTACCTTTAACTTCTCTGTGCCTTGATTTAGTCATCTGCAAAATGGATAAAACACCAATACCTCTTTTAGAGGTGCTGGTGGCCTAAACAACATATGTAAAGTACTTGGATAAATGCCAGTATCGTAGATTTATTTTGATCTGTTTAAAAAATTCTCATAATGAAATGCTTTTTCAGTTAGGCCCTGCATATGCCTACCTTTTATGAAATACTAAAATTGTTTTACCTAATAGATCTGCGTATTGTATGTGTATTCTTTCATTTGCATTAATTTTGCTATATCTTTAAGAGCTTGGTATTACTCCTGTTTCCACTCGAACACGAAGCAGTAATTTAAAACGTCCCAGGATAGGAAACAGGAGCCAGGAATCTGAAACTGAAACTCCTTCTGGAGAGGATGAAAACCTTTGGATATCAGGAAGCAGGTAATGTGTTGTTTTTCATTTTGCCGTTTTAGTGGTATTAGTTGTCGGTGCCCACTCATGTGGTACATGCTATTTCCTGTCCCATTAGAAAGTAAAACTGATATACCCTCCTCCTGCTTTAGTCTAATTTGCAGATTACTTAAAAAAAAAAAACCAACAACAAAACTCAAGGGAAAAAACAAGCTGCCACCTCCAAAGTGATCACAAGAAAACAAAGATTTGTGCTTACATATCAACTCAGCAGACACTGGGAACAATATACACAACACTGTAGTGACTAGCTACACATTGAACACTTTTTATTGTATTGGTATCTTGAAGAATCAAAGTTTAAATATACAACTGTGAGAGTGTTGTTGGGTGTGTGTGGTATTTATAACAAGGGAACATAGCTTAGCTTTTGTATTCTGATTTCTCTCTTGTATATTACAAAAAAAAAAAAACACACCACATCTTGAAAGGCTACTAAGACCATGAAACATTGATTGCACAGGCTCCCAAAGAAAAGATGAGCGTTTTTTGTAAAAAGCAGATTAAAAAAACCAAACCAAAACAAAAAAAAAACCACCTAAAACCCCCTCACTGACATGAAGAGAACTTTACTTTTTAGTTAGATTCAGAAACTTGTTTGGATTGATAAAAAGTATAGAATGGATCAAAGGAAGCTGGTTGTATTTTGTTAAAACAGTATTTCTAGTGGATGCCAGAGAACCAAGAGGCCAAATTACTACTTTGTAGTAATTGGAATATAGTTTTTGTAAAATGTCTGCATTCATGAAGCATGTCCATATGATATCTATTTTCATCACTGGAAGAGGAGGGGAAATGAATATCCTTACTGAAACCTGACACAGTTCAAAAGACTTCATGTCTAAAACAATTGCCACTCAAGCTACTCCAACAGTTAAGTCGTATAAGACTGATACTGGTATACCTGGGTTGGGTGAAGTTCGGTCTCTTTCCGCAAAATCCAGATTTTCTTACAGTAAGGGATTATTAGCATTTTATAACTTCCAAAGCCTATAACCTTTGTGAAACTATTCCTGATTTCTAATTTTGAAATCAATGAAAGCAAGATAGAGGCCTCTCTCTCTCTCTCTCTCTATATATATATATATTGCTGCAGCAACAGTTTAGTTGAACAACTATCTAGTTAGGAGTTGGCCATTTTCAGTATTTAATGTTTATTTTGGTGGGTTCTACACTTCTGTATGATGAATGTGTGCTATAATAATTAACTTGTAATGGAAGGAATTTTTCATTATGAAATGGTGTCACTGAGATTAATCTAAAATAAAAAGTGTTTTATTTTCTGTTGCAGATTGGAACCTGTAGCACATACATCTGAAAGCTCAGAAGAGTTAGGAGAAGAAAATGAAGAAATTGTAGATGAAAATGAAGAAGAAACAGTTGCTGACAATGAGGACCAATCAATATTGGAAACACAAGAGTTATGTACATCACCATCTGACAAACAAAATGAGAAAGAGGTAAATCTCAAATGGGTGGATACACTCAGTCCAGATAAGATCCAGGTGGTGGTGATATGTTTGAGGAGGCTTTCCATCCTTATCTGAGCAGGAGATTGCTGCAGTCTTTTGTATCAAATATAGTCTTTGCTACTATATTTGCCTTTGACAACTCAGCGTGAAATTATTGCAACACACGTTATCAGGGATGTAAGGGACTAGTCGACTAGTTGCTTCCCCCCTCCTTGCTGTCTCTCTCAGAAAGAGGAAGCAAGGGGGGAGGGAAGCAGAGGGAGTTCGGGGGGAGCCGGCTTAAAAGCTGGTTCCCTTTCCCCCCTTTTCCCTCCCCCCGCCAGCTGCAGCTCCATGGGAGGGGGCAGGGATGCAGCAGCAATATCCCAGCTTTGAAATGTACAAGAGTCCCCAAAAGAGCAGGGGCTCTTGTGCATTTCAAATATTGAAGCGCTGCCCTGCGTGGAACCCAGGGCCAGTGGGGATTCCCCTCTGACCCCAGACTCCATGCGGGTGCTTCCACTTTGAAAGTTACTTCAAAGGTTGAAACGCTGCATGGAGCCCAGGGCCTGCTGGAGCTCTTGTACATTTCAAAGCAGAAGCACCCACATGGAGCCTGGGGTCCATGGGGGAACTCCCTGTTAGCCCTGGGCTCCACGCGGTGTTTCAGTCCCATTGACTATTCTATTAGTTAATTAATCGAAATTTAACATGCCTACACGTTATGTGGAACTACATATTAAATCCATTTGGAAGATGAAACTGGTACAGAATTAGTCAGGGAAACTTCCTCCATACTATTGTGGACATTAGAGTTTAGTTTAGTATCTCTGGCAATATAAAGTAGTTGGAGCAGAGGCCAAAAACTGGTCTAATATCTCTGAAGAAAATTAGATGATCTTCAAGGAACTAATGGCTTGCTATGTATCAGTGACACTTTTAAATTTTGGAAATACTCGCTTTATTTTTTTTACGCTTGAAAAAAGCCAAAAGATTTTAAAAAACCCCCATAAATACGACTGTTTTCACAATAGCTTTAGTCTGTAACAGAAGCTGTTAAAACTAGAAATAATACTGGTGTCTTGGGAAAATCTCACATTCTGCTGATCAATGTCTCTATGCAAAAACTTCAGAGAGGTAGCCAGTTTAGTCTGTAACTGAAAAAAAAATTTAAAAACAACATACACTTGCAGCACCTTAGAGTGCGTTCACACTGCACCATACCTCGAAATAAGATAGGCAATCTGAGCTATGCAAATTGCCAGGGCTCACCAAGTGGTGGCGAGCCCCACTCGTCAGCTGCGCGGTTCTGCGTTCTGCGCGCACTCTTCCAGGTTCTTGCCACGGGTGAGTAGATTACATTATTTGTCGAGCCCTGCAAATTGCATATCTTCTTTCAATGCTATTTCGAAATAGCTTATTTCGTCATTTGATGCTGCCTACACAGTGCCAGATTTCAAAATAAAGCATTATTCCGAAACGTCCCTTACTCCTCGTAGAATGAGGTTTACAAGGATGTCAGAATAGCGAGCCCGAAATAACAGGTTTGCTGTGAAAACATGGGATAGCTATTTTGGGATACTTTAGTATCCCAAAATAGCACTGCAGTGTAGATGTAGCCTTAGGGTATGTCTACACTACAAAGTTAATTCGAACTAACGGACGTTAGTTCGAACTAACTTTCATAGGCGCTACACTAGCGCTCCGCTAGTTCGAACTTAATTCGAACTAGCGGAGCGCTTAGTTCGAACTAGGTAAACCTCATTCTACGAGGACTAAGCCTAGTTCGAACTTACTAGTTTGAATTAAGGACTGTGTAGCCCCTTAATTCGAACTAGTGGGAGGCTAGCCCTCCCCAGCTTTCCCTGGTGGCCACTCTGGC